TTTGCATTGGGTAATGAGAACCAATAAATAAGTTGGCCCGGCCAAAACTGTCTTTACTGCAGTTAGTTGGGAAAAATGTTGATAGGTATTAAAAATTCTCATAATTACATCTGCTTGTAAGGAAGTTTGCCAAGCGAATTGAAGCAGCTGCAAATTGGACCTAAACATATTTTGATTTTAATTTACCATCTGGGAAATATGAAGCTGTCAGCTGCAGCAATGATCAGATTTTCGGATCATGTTACAAAAGAGTATTGAAAATATTTCTAATTCGTTTTCACCATCCTTCCTATGGTTTCTCCTGATTAAAGTGTTACTTGAAGAAGCTCTTCTGTATCTGACAGCTATGGCTGCAAATTTAAACACTGAAATTTGCCTCCTGCAAACTGCGCCAAAACACCCAACAAAGTTACGCATATTTCTGGGCACTTTGGGGTAGAATGCTGAGCACCGCTTTCGGAGGCATTCCCATCAAGGAATTCAATCAATTATGTTGTGTGTACGCAACGTACACCGGGGAGCTAGTGGCAGCAGAAGAGGTAACTGGAATCCATTATAGCCATTTGCAAGCATGCAATTTACGCTGGAAGCGAAGCGTCAGCTAACGAACCCCCAGCAAAAGGGAAACAAATTCAATTTACAGCATGGAAAATGCAACAAAAAATTACACTTTTAATTGGAAAATTACAGCAACGAGACACTCGAGCTGAGGTGCAACGTGGGCATGGAGGATGGAGCGTGGACCTTCGTTATCTTCGCTTCACCCGGCACAGAGGATAATTCCTCAATTTGAGAGATATATTGCCCTTGACCTGAAGCTGATCCAGCCGGGCCTCTGTGCTGATGCGATAGCTGCGAAATATCTTGGCCAGCAGCAGCTTCATCAGCATCTGGGCATACCGATAGCCGATGCACATGCGCAGACCCTTTGTAAATGGCACAAAAGCAAAGGCATGACGCGCAGGCGCCTCCGGCCCGAAGTGCGCTTCCGGATTGTATGTCCGAGCCAATGGTCCCCACACCCGCTCGTCCCGCTGCATGTTGTAGATGTCGATGCCAATCTGTGTGCCGCTTGGAATCAGAAACTCGCTGTCATCGCGGCGGAGTTGGAAATCCTGCGCTGCGGAGCGAATGACCATGGGAACGGGTGCGAAGAGCCGCATGGCCTCGTTTATGGCCATTTCTGTGTAGGTGAGTCGCTCCAGCTGCTCCAGGGATATGTCCCCATAGGGCGGCAGCTCCGCCATTAACTCCTCGTGAAGCTTCTCCTGGTAACTCGGATGCATGGCCAGGCAGAGAATGGTGAAGTACAGAGCCGTCGATGTGGTCTCGAAGGTCTGAAAGCAAGGTCCACTTTAAGCATGATCTATAACCTCTTTGTCTTACTTACCGCTGCAATGGTGACATTGGCCTCATCTCTGACATCCTGCCAGCTCAGTTGGCCTCGCTCAACATGCTCCCTCACCTGTTCGATGAAAATTGACTTGGATTTACTTCTCGGCTCCTGTTGCAATGGCTCCTTGGGTGGTACAATGTCCACAACCGAGACAATCGGCGCCAGCAGCTATCCGAGGTCATGGATCATAAGTTACACAAATGGCACGGTATGGGGCAACAATTTACCTGCTCCACAAATCCAAGTAGAACGCCAACAACCTTCTTCTGCTGGCCATAAAGCGCCGAGCGTCGATAAACAAACTCCGGATAGAGCCAAGGCGACAGCATACGCTTCACACACACCTGCGTCAATCTTCAAAGGGAAAAATTGTTATCGATGCTGTGTCAAGGCAGCAAAGGGTAGACCTTGTCGCAATGCAAAGAAAAGGCCTTTCCGCCCGAGATGCAGCAAAGATTGTAATTAGCTAATAGCCAAGAAAAAACCAGAGAGCATGCCATGAGAGTGGAAAGTCTATCCAAACAAAGACAAGGAGTCTACTACCACTTAAATGACAAAATAAATAATAAATTCCATTGCAATGACTCACCCATTGTAAGCTTCGAATATAACTGCGGAGCCGTCGTGCTGGAAATTCATTTTTCTGCCCATAGTTGTCTCTGCATCAAAATGATTTACTTTGAAAATGAGATGCAACAGAAATTTGTGTGCTACTCACGACATGCCGCTTCCAGGACAATCTTCTTCAAGATCTGATATATCTCCAACTCCTTGCCCTGCTGTACACCCTCCAGGTCAAGCTTCTGCAGCAGAACCTCCGCCTCGGCATTGAAAATGGGCAAAAAGTTGCACAGGATCTGACGCCCAAAGGCAGGATTGATGAGGCGACGATGCTTGTGCCAGCGCGGAGCACTGGAGGTGAACAATCCGTCGCCAATCGCTGAACTCAGGAAGCGATAGAAGTGTCCCTTGTTCGTGCAGTGATTCGAGTTAAAGATTTGCTCCACGGTGTGTGGGTCGTTGACATAGAGGAAGCAGCTGGTGCCCATCCAGGAGACGAAGGGCGCCTTGAAGTTGTGCGACAGTCCGTCCATGTACTGCAGAAAGGCTGCAAAAGACAGTTAGCCCCAGCCCGGACTGACTTCTCCTCGGCTTCTCTCTTACTCTCGGGATTCATCATTTGCAGCCCCATGCCGATGAGGGGCCAGCCAATGGGTCCTCTCAGCTGCCAGGCGGCCTTGTAGTACCGTCGACGGGTCCACAAGAAGTACGTCCACACCAGCAGCAACCAGATGGCCAGAATGAGGCAGGTGCCCAGCAGCATGTCGTTGAACTTGAGGCTCCCGGTCCCCAAATCCGCGTCAAAAATTAATTGTTTATCGCGCAACGTTCGGTTCAACACTGAGTCTAGGCTACCCCAGAGCAGGCACCCATTGAGGTTTCTATATGTACGAGTACAGGGATTACGCATTTGTGGCTCTAATGCGGAACTTTCCATGCCCGCCACGTTTCGGCCAGCCATTCGCATGCGAGTCGCGTGCCGCGCAAAATTATGCCAGTCCAATATACAAATATGCATTGGGCCACAAAAAGCTGTTGGGCCAGTTTGAATTTACTCTTTTGATCTACAAAACATGCACCGTATTTATTGTGAAAAAATTGATACACAAATTGATGCGAGTACAAGCGGAGTTCAAGCTTGATTTTGTCATTTCTTACTCGAGCGACAAGAACATTCATAAAATCAATATACCCCCACCGGCGACTGCACACCCAACTAGGCTCGACATATCGTTGGATGTTCTTGAACTTTGTTTTGATTTAGTAATTGGTTAATTATTGGGCCATACGTCATTTAGGTAGGCGTGTCCAAGCCTCCTCCATCAAGACTCATTAGACATTCATTTGGTTTTTTAATTATGCTTTTTATTCGCTATTAATATTTTTACAAATTGTTTTAGTTGTGTTTTTGTTTATTTCAATTTTGTATTAAGTTTTGTTTAACAATTTAATTTCTTTCTTTCTTTAATAATCCTCCTGCGGTGATTCCGGTTTCCATGTATTATTTTAGTTCTGTTCAGATAGAGAGACACAAGCGGGCATGGTACATACATTTTACATACAAATGTATGTACATATGTATGTACATTGATGGGCTACTTAGTAAAACTTAGTGCGCTATGTGTTGAGTGAAGAATTGCTATGTCTGCTCATCAGGTGTTCCAATGGGTTCTACATTTTTAGGATCAGGATCATATAGTGGGATCCCCTTGAAAATTCGACACTTCACTCCACACTCTCCTCCCTTCTTAAGTGTAAGCTAGGTTTAAAAAGTTTGCGATATTTATTTTTTTGTGGACGTTGCGTTTCCAGTTTTGTCATTGGTAAGTTTTATAGTTAGAGTTGTAAGTTGTGGCTTGTATCTGCATTATCCTAAGGGACCAGTGGAAGCCAATTGTTGGGGGTTTTGTGTTACAATTTGTTTCAATATGGTTTCTTTCGGAATTGATAGCTACTGCCTCGATTGCAGTTATTACATAGTTTTAGTATATAAATATATGCCAGTCATATTTCTTTAGTAGGTCTAGGTCTACCTTATATACACTTCCCTAGCCCTATGCCTAGCCGAGGTTGCCCTGCTCTCTAAATAAATTATACACCTTTTTATTGTCAACAATATTGACGACTCGCGACGACTCCGATTGTGGGTTCTCCTGGCATTACGATTATTACATCTACTTGTTGTTATATATAGCCAGAACGTTATGCCCGTGCACATAGGTAATTGTTTTAAACTATACCAAGTTGTTAACTAGGCTCGACTCAATCTAATGGCACCTTAATGCGTGCTGTCTTTGCCACCTTGCACGTGGTTATCTTTATAAACTTTTCGCATTTCGCAGATAAGATATCTCGCCCTTGCAAATGGAACAAGTGTTTCAGAGATAGAAAACTGAACTAAGTGTATCCATTTACACCAATTGCAATAGTCCAATAGAGCTATTGGCATCGGCTGTTCGAGCATTTTCTTCTTGTACAAATTTATTAGCAACTCTCAGGGTCGCTGCTTATTGACTTATTATAAATATATTATATTTATATACTAATCCGTTGAACTCCTTTTGCTGCATGTTGTAGATGTTTTTTGTTTTGCACATGAATTTCAAACACAAGAGAAAGTCCTGCAGGCTCTGTTGATCTTATTCTATGTATAGGCAACTCATGCAAATATATAATGTATTGCATGTACACATACACATACACATACACATACATATACATATACGTATATATTTATACAAAATAAACTTTGCTTTCACATTGGCGCTTGCATAAAAATATTAATCAAAAAACACTGGCATGGTTCGATTTGTGACTGATTTTGAGACGGGGGCATAGACGGTGCGGTGCAATTGCTCTTTTTTTTTGTTGTTATCTTTTGGGTGGAGAGGGGGCTTGGAGGGGGGGCTGAAGCTAGGCTAAGGAACCCAATGCGGTTCCACATACTGATTAGTTATTAAGTGGCTTATGACCTTTAATGGAATTTATGTGGTATTTCTCTGGTTAAATGTTCATCATATCAATCCTCTATACTTAGGCACAATACATTTAATTTGTTTTATTTTCATTTTCACTTGACTTCCTTCTTGAAGCCGTAACTTTTTGCTAAATATTTTGCTTCGCTTAAAACTAAATACTACGCGTAAAAGCGTTTGTGTGTGTGTGTGTGTGAGCGGTGTGGGGATGTGTGTGTGTGTGTGTGTTTTGTTGGTGTTCTGGCTAATTATTTCATATATTAAGCGATTATTTTTTGCATATTCCTGCAATTATTTCTACTAAAATTTAAACATTTAAGCCGCTGGCCAATCATTTAAAGCTTTTCACAATCATGTTCATATGCAAAATAATAAATAAAAAAAAGTATATGTATAATAGGATTACAAAATCGACTCAATAAATAATGCATCATTTAATAGTATGGTTGAACTATTTCTATTGCACGCATTGGGTCGCGTGTTGGTGTTTCCATTAGCTTATACTCGTATAGGTAGTGAACCATCATCGATTTTTGTTTATTTTATCCTTTCGTTCCTACCAAACCGTTCTCATTGCTTAGGTTTTTGTTTTTTTCGTTTAATAACGCAGAATGTATCACTTACAGCGGATGTGCCATCAAGAATGATAAACGAATAGTTCGAATTTAAATAAAATGCTCGCTGGCTGAACGTAAAGGGACATCTACTCTGGGGGGATGTGTGTTGCCAGCTTTCGCCTCTACTTTCTGACCTTTTTCTAAACAATTACAATTTGGGAATTTATTTTTTCACACATTTTCAACGCACGAATACAAAAATTATTGCCGTACAATAGTTTCTTTCTCTTGCGGATTGGATTCACACATCTATTCTATGTACTTTCAGCTTACACACTTTTCCATTAGCTTAGTTTTGTTTTTGTCTTCAAAACAATATACGATACGCGCTACGTTTACTATGAATGCTACAGAGTAGACAACAACTTATGTTTTTATGTTTCTTCTTCCGTGATTAGTTTGCATTTTGTTTGTTGTGTGTTTTTGTTGCTGAATCTTAGTTAATTTGCATCGAGGTGATTAACTCTCCGCCTGCTGGTTGGCCGTGAACTGTGTTATGCCATCGTTTTCCATTGACTCGAGGATATCTGCCACGTACACAGCCACATCGGTGTGGCTCGTCTCGCCGCGACGTATGAAGGGCATCTCCAGCAGTCGGCTGTACTTCGGCCTGTCACTCTCCTTTTTAATGAGGCTGCAACAAATGACACAATAAAGAGCGACTTAATATGCAAATTGATTTTTTTAATGCTTACCAAGTGTTGACGAATTCTACAAACTCTTTGGAGAACTCCATGCCATTGTATGAGGTCATTAGTCGCGGCGGTTCGCCTTGCACAACCTAAGGAACGAAAGAACATAAGAAACATCGCTCAGCGTGCTTGCTTTCAAAGCATTCAGCTCACCTGGCACAGCTGCTCAAATACCGAGTCCCATTTGCGATATGGGAAGTTACCTGTCGCCACCTCCATCAAAGTTATACCCAAGGACCACACATCGCTCCGCACATCATACCCCTTGGCACGCTCTGGATCGATGCGTTCCGGCTACAGACAAATAAGAACTATCAAAAATCGATCTGGTTTAGATTAGTTGCCGTTTCGTTACCGCCATGTAGGGTCTGCAGCCCGCATCCTTGGTCTTGGCTATTGAATCCACTAGCTGTCCCGATATTCCAAAATCACACAGCTTGATGTCGCCTCTGCGGTGCAGTAAGATGTTGCTGGGCTTCACGTCCCGGTGTATTATCTTGAGCTCCTCCTTCAAGTAGTTCAACGCGTTCACCGTGGCAACCGTGATTTTGGCGAGAATAGACTCTGGCAAGTGACGCTGCTGCTTCTCGAATATGTACTTGTAGAATTTGTCCAACGACGTGTCCATCAGTTCCATGCATATCCAGCAATCGCCCTCCTTGAAGAGCGCTCCATAGAACTGAACAATGTAGATGCATTCATTGGACTTCATGACCACCTCGAGATCCATGAGCAGTTGCTTTTGTTCCTTTTCGTCGACAGTGGAGCGGATGCGCTTCACTGCCATAACCTTGTCCAGCTTCTTGAATATCATCTTGTTGACGGCACCAAAGGCTCCGCGCCCTATCTCGCCCTCATCCTCGAGATCATCTGATGTAAACTGATGTGCGTTGGCAGCACCCTCGCCAAACTGTAGCTTGCCGCAGGCCTGCTGGCGTATGCGCTCCCGATGCCGGTCTGTAGCCGTGCTGCTGCTGCTGCTGCTTGAAGCCGGCGCTGTGCCGCCTCCGCCGCAGGCACCGGCACTGGCAACTGCGCCACTGACACTGCTGGTGGCTATCGGGGGCTGTGCACTGAAACGCAGCGCCACATTGTTATGCTGAGATGAGGAACTTGAGCCCGACGATGTAGACCCGGACGAAGTCGACGAGGTGGACGAGGGCGGATGGCGAATGCTGAGGTTGTTCAGACTGAGCTGGTCGGGAGGGTTGCGCGAGCGACTGGGTCCAGCTGTAATTTGTAAATTTATTTTGTGCTTACTTTATTAGTTTATCAACTTATCAACTTTGCAGTGCACCTCTTCGGGCAAATGTGCGACAGTAGTGGCGGCACTGATACGAGTGCGTATGTACATACGTGCATATTTATATGTATATGTGCACATATATCTGATTGTGGTGCTTGTATGTATGTCGAGTGCGTGGGCAGAGCCAGGAAAAACAAGCAATACTCACTTGCAAACAAATTTTTCGGTCGCTCGGCCATTGTGACTGACGGCTGCTTCGGGATACTGGCAGAACAAAAAGTATTGATATTGCTTTGTTGCCAAAGGACGTCTGTCGCTGGTCTTTTCAGAGGGCGCCGCGCCCCGAATACAACACGTCGCCTGAGACTTTGAAAGGGCCGAAGAAAGCGTTATATTCTTCCGTCGCTTGGTTTTCCTGTGGGTCCAACTCAACACTTTTTTCTTCTACGGTTAAAGTGCACATTTATGCACTTTTTAAGTAATTTACATAAATACCCAACCAAAAGAGCTAGAGATGAAACATTGATTTATTCCGCAATATCGATAGTGGAAACACCAAGACCGATATGCGCCGATGGCAAACACGAAACCGTCCAAATATGGTCACACAGCTGTAACCAAAAAATAAAATAAACAAACATCGCATAATCATGTCCAGCGGATTCGCACGTAGCTCATACAAGTTGTTCGTGGGCAATCTCCCGTGGACCATCAGCAGCAAAGAGCTGAAAACCTACTTCTCCCGCTACGGGCACGTGGCCAATGCTGAAGTGGTGTTCGACAAGCAGCAGGGACTGTCAAAGTACTACGGATTCGTGGTCTTTAGCCAGCGGGATGCCTACAACAGCGCCAGCAACCAGAACACCCACTACCTCGAGGGCAGGGTACTCAACGTGCAGCGGGCCAACGAAAGTCAATAAACTAATCTGAGTGATAGATGTCTTAAAGAGTTTTAATTGCGTTTACAAGAACCAAACGAATATTTCGATTGTTTCCTTCTTAGTGCCTAAAAATGTGTTTTTTACTTGGGTAGGTAGGACTTTGACTTTGTCCCAACGACTGCCTGTACATTGGAATGTCCCCCTTCGGTGATTAGTTTCGAGAGCTCGTCCTTGATCTGCTCAACGAGATATGGTCCTTCGTAGACCAGAGCAGTGTAGATTTGGACGTACGAAGCGCCTGCCTCAATCTTCTGATACGCGTCCTGCCCGGACGAGATGCCGCCAACGCCAATTATGGGAATTTTTCCGTTGGTGAGCTGGTACATCTGGGCAATCATCTCTGTGGAGCGCGCTTTGAGTGGTTCTCCGCTCAGTCCGCCCGCCTCAGCGGTCCAATTGGTGTCCTGCAGATTGTCCCGCGACACTGTCGTATTGGACACAATGAGACCATCCACGCGACTCTTTTTGCGCTTAATGACGGCCACTATGTCGTTCAGGTCTGAGACCTCAAGGTCCGGCGACAGCTTGAGCAAGATCGGGACATTACGATTCTTTTCCAGACCCGACCGCGCCTCGTTCACTTGTTCGAGCAGCTCGGCCAGCTTCGCCTTACTCTGCATATCCCTAAGCCCTTTCGTGTTGGGACTGCTCACATTGATTACAAGGTAGTCCGCCACGGGACCAAAGACCTTGACTCCCTGCACGTAGTCAGAGACTGGTGTCATGGTATCTCGATTGCGTCCCAAGTTTACGCCCACTACGGCATTAAAATTCTCCTGTTTTCGCGTCTCACTTAGTCGCTTGAGAACAGCTTGGTGGCCATCACTGTTAAATCCATAACGATTTACGATGGCTTTATCTTCAGACAGGCGGAACACTCGAGGCTTCGGATTTCCCTCCTGGGCGTTGGGCGTGACAGTGCCTACCTCAACAAAGCCAAAGCCTAAATCTTTCAGGCCGGCAATGGCCTCGGCATTCTTGTCAAATCCAGCGGCGATGCCAATTGGATTGCTCAGCAGACGACCGAAGAAGTGGGTATTCAAATTGACGTCATCTTGGTAGTCGGAGACTGGATAAACGCGATATTTGCACGCCAACACAGCCAAGTTGTGGCTGGCCTCTGCCGGCAGCAGACGCACGACCGGCATAACAAAAGTGCGGAAAAACCGGTCCTTGTTGTTGTACGCCGTAATACCCATCAGCAAGGCGCTGGCCCCTACCGTGACTATTCCCAGCGAGCGCATTCGACTCTAGATGGACAAAAATAAAACCTCATTATCTTATTTTCCATAATATAACAAACTTACGAATTTCTTAGCATTCTCCATCGCCCACAGATTAATCGATCGTGACCAATCGAATTGTTGAAAGATGCCTAATCGATATAGAATCGAGCGTATGCACTTGTGTTAATATTGTTAAGAAATCGCGGAGCGGAAAGATTAAAATGGCGTTTTGTTAAGAAAATATGTTATAATTAAGTTTCGTTTGTGCACATTTTCTTTGAAGGGATACCATTTACTTACATACTCTTTGAATGTATCGATAAACAGAGTTTAAACAGCTTACTTTCCCATCTCTAAGCTGAGTCAGATGTCTGTTATTGTTTTTGGCCAGCTGAAACGAAATTTTATTAAATAAATAAATGTATGTCGTATGAACAGCCGCGAATTTGTCAACTTTCAAAATCATGAAAGGCGGTACTTTTCGCAACACGCAATGGGATCCCACGCTGCTGACCTCCCAAATAATATCGATGCAGTTCTGCGTGTACTTCACACTTGGCCTGCTTGTGTTTGTGGCCAACAAGTTGTCTGGCGACAACTACACTCTGGACCATTTATTCGAATATCGTGTATGCTTTTTTAATACTATTCACTGTTAACATAACCTTCATGGATTCTGTTTCCCTCCAACCATCTAGGAAATACACATATACGACCTGGGCGGCAGGCTGGTCATTTGCGCCTTTGTCGTGAATGCGTTTGTGGCTTCGCTGGCTTTGTGGTGCATAGTGAGACGGGCGAAGCTGTGTCTGGACTTCAGGTGATTATTCTCCGCACAAGCACTTGTAATTGTTTTGAACTGTGTCTTCTTCCGTGCAGCTGTACCTTCCATGTTCTGCATTTGCTAATCTGCTGGTGGTACAATCGTTCATTCCCCGCGAATGCCTCCTGGTGGCTGCTAAACGTCATAACAGGAACCATCATGTGCATAGGTGGGGAATTTCTCTGTCTTCAAACCGAAATGAAAGAGATTCCAGTGGGCTACGCTGCGCTCAACCAAAAGTCAGACGTTTGACATCCCACTCCACTTGTGATGCTTGTTAGCTTTCCCAAGCCACCCAATTCTCTAACGTACATGTAATTTATTGTTAAACTAGAATACGATTACATATGTAGCACATATAACCTGTTGTGTGTATTTGGACTAATGTAATATCTGGTAAACGAAGGGTGGCCCGTGCTTCAGCTTGAGTCCCGCTGGAACCATGTCCGGTAGCATTCCCTTTTGTCCTGGTCCGCTGTAATTATGCGAAATCAGCGACCAGAAGTTCACCTCCCGTGGAACAAACATCCAGTAACTGAAGGCCAGCGTGAAGGTGAGGATCAGGGACCCCAGCACAAGCAGCATCCAGCAGAGACCGCGTTGTTGTGCCTTCTGCATGTTGTCTCGCAAGCGAATTGAGACACGAAATGTACACAGCTGATCCGCAAAACAACTCGGCAAATAAATGCACCAAAATAAGGCCGTAATTGAACAACTCCCGAGTCGATTGCGCGGGTGTGGTCGTGCGGCTGGTAGCTTCCACTTGCGTCACGCCTACTTCCTTTTTTTCTATAATTTAGCCACAACGCAAAGCAAGTACGTTTCTCTGCAAGCTTCGAGCTTTACGCTCTACACAAATTTATCTGAGAAGACAAACAAAGAATCGACAGCACGAGCTCGCGGCCCTTCCCTACCCCGACCAATCCCCCCCACAATGCGACAGCACACTAATCAGGTTTGTCTAATCTAATCTAATTAGTGTATGGGACCACGATCGTTGCTTCCGTCGTCGGGCAGACCTGAATTCGCTATAGGAGAAATCAAATTTACTCTCGCCGCTGAATGCTACATATGAGCGCTTGGCCTTACGAAACCTTTTCGGATCGCACGCTTCCAATTGCACTTTCAATTTGCTAAGCCGAGTGTGGATCATCCATGCAGAGTGCATTCTAGTTGCTGCGTAGAAGAAAAGTCGGGGGCCAAAGCTCTTGCCTAAAGCTCCAAAGGGTCACCAACCTCACAGCCATGAAATTCGTTCTAAATTTATGCATACCAGAGCACGAATGTAAATGGGCAAAGCCGCGAACAAGAGGTAGATCTGTAACAAAAAGCCGGATTTTTGCCACAAACATTAATACTTACATTTACAAACACATGCACCCACATACATACATATGTGGGCTGTTGTAACACTCCAAGCTGAAGGCTTTAAAATGCGTGTGTAATCCATTCATAGCCGTCAGTCTTTAGTTCCATAGCAATAAGCTTGGATGCCATTCAGGACACAGTTCCGTAGCACTCACCATGTTATATTTGAATTGAAGCTCGAAAATAAATCAAAATACACTTAAAATAAGTACATAACGGAAATGTATACGTGTACTAAGTCTATGCGCATATGCCCTAGGCGTATATCCCTCCTATGATGTGAGTACCGGTTGTAAATTTTCCAGCTCCAGTTCAAATTAATCAACTGCCTACCCCCAACTTATCTGTTACCCTTCAAATGGATTGGTGTAAAACTTTGATTTTGACAATTAAATGATTATTAAGTAATTTTATACCTACTGAGTTGATTAACTCTTCTGTACGATTTCAGATTTCCCAAAAATTAAGCTAATTGTATTCTATTGTCAATAGAGTACGAAATATAATCTTTTAAATCAAACAAAAATCAGACTTTTTTTTTCATTTGCTAAATTATTAAATTTATGTTTAGCAAACTTTGTTTTTTAATATTTTCTTTGTGTTGATTTCTCGTTTCATATAGTACAGCATATCTCGATTTATATATGTTAATATATACTATATATATTTCATTACTATTTATCGTTTCATGTTTAAAATCATCAATTGAAGTTCAAGTTTTGCGCATTCATTCATCATCTTGATCCGCTATCGACAGTATACATACATATACACTCGTCTGTGTGTGTATATATAAATATATTTATTCATATATATTTGTATTTGAAAATTCCAAGAGAAATGATGTGTGAGAAGTATAACTTATGGACAAAAATTCAAAATTGTATCAGTTGCTTAAATATTTCTTATATTGTGGTGTTTATCATATTTGTAATATGTGTGTGTGTGTGTGTGTAGAAATTGTTGTTGGGGCATGGATGGGCCTGAGTGTACGCTCTCTCTCTCTCTCCCTCGTTGCATGAATAACATACTTTATTTTTATTTGATTTGTTTACTATTTATTATTTTTGCTTCTATTGGGTTTGGGTTTGGGTTATTGTTGTGATTGTGGTTGGACATGCTGGGATAGCTGATAAATGATATATGAGGATGGTCTAGATCTTATTTCTGTGTGTCCGTGTGTTTATGTGTGTGTTTTGCTGTTTTTTGTGTGTGTGTTGCGCTGCGCACAGACAGATCCTCTTCACATTTGCTGTTCCTATATAATATATGTATGTGTGTGTACATAATATATAGCTGCTATCGACTGACGACCAACTGATCTCTTCTCTTTAGTTAATTGCGAAAGTTGCTATGATGCGAGTGCGACTGCTGTTGCTGCTGCGACTGCTGCTGCTGCTCCCTCGGCGTGGCGTACACAGCCCGTTGGTACCCCTGGCCCTGCGGATGAGGCCTTTCTCATTGAGCCCCCCACCAATCCGGACCGTTACCTGAGTGCGAGGTAGCGGCACCTCCTCCTCCGCTGTACGAGCCGCCATAGGATCCGCCACCACCGCCGCTGCTGCCGTAGTATCCGCCACCACCAGAGTTTCCTCCTAGAAGCGAAATAATATAAATGTGAGCAAACATCTAGGAACCGGAACCCACTTTTTCCACTCCCCAAACTTACCATACGAGTTTCCATTGCTGCGGAAGCTTCCGCCGGCGCCTCCTGCGCCACTGCTGCGTGGAGGAGGGCCACTGCCGCCGCGACTGCCACCGCCGCCGCCAGAGCCCTGGCGGTAATCGCGAGAGCCAAAGCCAGAGCCGCCGTAGCGTGCGCCCGGACCTCCACGACGCTTAGCTCCGCCGTGTCCACGATCCGAACTCATCAGATCCTCCAGGAAGTTGGGAATCTCCTGCTTTGTCTCGATCAGCAGCTCCAGCAAATCCGAGCAAATGTTACGATTCTTTTCGTTGAAGAAGGACGTGGCCACGCCGAGATTGCCCATACGGCCGGTACGACCAATGCGATGGACATACTCCTCCACATCCGAGGGCAGATCAAAGTTGATGACATGCTTAACATGTGGAATGTCCAGACCACGAGCGGCCACAGCTGTGGCCACCAGAATCGGGCAATCGCCGGAGCGGAAGCAGCGCAAGGCCTCCTCGCGCTCCTTCTGGGTGCGGTCGCCATGGATGCTGGTCACCGGATGGCTGCACTGATAGAGGAACTCCTCCAGCGAGTCCGCTCCCTTCTTTGTCTCCACGAAAATGAGCGTCAGGTGTTCCTTGCTGTATTCGGGTCCATCGCGGATGGACGAGAGCAGATCGAGCAGATACGAGCGCTTGTCCTGCTCGTAGACCCAGAGAATGGTCTGAGTAATATTCTCGGACGTGGAGCCCACGCGGCCCACGGCGAGGAAAATGTAGTTGCTGAGAAAATCGCTCGCCAGTTCCTGAATCTGCTTTGGGAATGTGGCCGAGAACATAAGCGTCTGACGCTGGCCAGTGGGTGGCATATTTAGCTGCTCCACGATGCGACGAATCTGCGGCTCGAAGCCCATGTCCAACATGCGATCGGCCTCGTCCAGCACCAGGAAGCGAATGTTTTCCAGACCCACCTTGCCGCGCGTAATCATGTCCTCCAATCGGCCCGGAGTGGCCACAATCAAATGGCATCCCCGGTCCAGCTCGCGCATCTGCTCGCTGGTGTTATTTCCGCCATAGAGTACGGCCGGACGCATACGAGAACGGTAGGCGAACTTCTTGGCCTCCTCAAAGATCTGGGTAGCCAGCTCGCGGGTCGGTGCCAGCACCAGACCCAACGGATACTGCTTGCGCCGGCTATACTGTCGATTGTTCTGCGGCGGCGCCGACATACCGTGCTCGTACATCTGGTTAAGGATGGGCACGAGGAAGGCGGCCGTCTTGCCGGAGCCGGTCTGGGCACAGGCCATCAGATCACGTCCACTGATGATGATCGGTATGGCGTGCTTCTGCACCGGTGTCGGTTTGTCATAACGCGCAAGGCTCACGTTGTTGCGAATGATCTCCGTCAGCTGCACATCATCGAACGTTGTGATATTGGGTGGAACATTCTGGCCCGTCGCCTCCACGGGTATATCCTCGTATTTGTCAAAATTGATGCCCGTGTTGCCAACGCCGAACAGCTCCTGCTCCAAGCGCTCGTCCCTGGCTCCCAGTTTTGTGTAGTCGGTGTTGCCGCCTCCGCCCTCCTTCCAGCGACTGTTGTAGCCAGAGCCGCCTCCGCGTTCGCCGCGATTGTTAAACGATCTGTTTCCGCCGCCTCCCGGAGCTCCGCCTTCGACAGCGCCCTCGAAGCCACTTGGGCGCTCTGGCTCCTGCCAGCGGTCATTGCGTGGCTGCTGCGGCTGCTGTTGGCCCTCATCGGGCTGTTCGTCAAGGGCGGTACCACTGCCGCCTCCACCACCGCGATACGAGGGACCTCGCCGATCCCCACCGAAGCTTCGTCCGCCGCCACCACCACTGCGATTCCAGTCGCCTCCACGACGCGAATCGAAATCACCTGGGATCAGAACGGGGAATCAAATGAGATGAGAAGCAATTGCTGGAAGATTAGAGCTGCAGACTTACCGTTGTAGTTGTCCTCAAAGCGACCGCCACTACCTCCTCCACGTCGTCCTCCGCCGCCAAAACTTCCGTACTCGCCGCTCTGGCGATTGTAGCCACGACCACCGCCGCCTCCGCCTCTGCGATACTCACCGCTGCGATTCTGCTGCGGTTCCCTGCTGTCGGCGCGCGGATTAGCGGCTCTAGAATCGAAGCCCTGGCCTTGGCCCTGGCTGTCTACCTCCGCTGCGTTGTTGTTGCCACCACCACCACGAAGATGCGGGGGCACATAAACACCACCGGTGACCGAGTTAGTGGAAGTCTTGCTTGTTATGGGGCCGCTGTAGTCAGCTGAGCCGCCATTCAAGTCCAGACCAGCAACCTGAAACGAGAAGTAATTCGTGCGTGACACGACCAAATCCGTGAGTGGTTGTTTATTTGTATGTGTAGATAGAATAGACGTCCTCAAGTTCAATGAATTGCAACCCAATCCGATGGCATAACAAGTTTTTTTTCTCTAACTCATCCCATTTCTCTTTATGCTCTTCACCCGCCTGGCAACATGTGCGATTTACTTCTGCTTTCTCACACACCAAACTCTCCTGCACACGGTGTAGCGTCCCGCACGTATACAGAGAAGCGCAACTAGTTTAAAGCCTCGATTTTCGGTCTTTGCCATTACACAGAGAGGGCGCCCGCCTAGCAACACAACAACAACAGGGCCACCCACAAACACACACATGCACAAATCTCAGACAAGCTTCATGGTGTTGGTATGATATGGGGTTTCATAGCGGCGAATAATAAGCCCAGGTGTGGATCGAGAATCAGTGGCAAGTGTGGAACGCGTGTTGTAAAAACAAATAAAAAACAGGGTGTCCGTCCATTTGTAAATTGGTAAGATACACGCATATAACAAACATTAAAAATATGGTATAGCGGAAAGCCATCTCTTTAAGAAAAAAAAATTATTTGTGAGCTGTTATATTATACATATTTGATAATCACCCTCTAAATTTTCCGTTCGCAAACTATGTGCCCCTGACAACCCTATTTACAACACTCAGCTTCCACATGTGCGCGCAAGCGAGAGAAAAAGAGAAGAACACTGAAACTCGCACACACACAGCAACGCACTGGTTTAGAATTGCGGCGCTGCTCACACACCAACACTAAGGCACCAAAAGACGGGCACTTTCACACACAAACACGTCAGATTGGAGGCAACGAGCAAAAATTATACAAAAGAAATTACAAATGTGAATAACGAGAAGAACTTGGACACATGTACACACAAGACCAGTGCACGTACACAATTCACCGTTGTAAAAGCGCGATACGCTTGACAGCCAAAGACATTTGTGTGTTATGAAATCAATAAGTTTTTAGCCGAACATTGTCCAATAACCGCATGAGCCTCGTCATACACACTCTCGCACACACACACGCACAGTTAACACACAATATACACATATATGTACCACATACATATACTTTTTCCCTACAATATATACTTCACCCAGGATTCCCCCACCACTCGACCAACCAACAGACGACATTTCATATGCTTTACTTACTTGCTGCTCTAGACCTGTGCCATTTTGGTTAATAGCATTACTCATATTATCCTCCAATCAGTTGCTTGTTTTTTCTTGCTTTCCGTTTAGGAAAATTTCGCAGTTGTTACGCTTTGTTCGGGTGCACACTTGCTATTTTCGACAAAAAAAGATATGGGAAAACTCTCTTTCTTTAGTATTTGTGTTGCACTTTGTGTCTATACGTTTTTCATTAGTTTTTCCGACAACTTCTTACGTTCCACAAGCTACTACGTTCTTATGTGAAATTTCAAATGAGGTCTGTACTTCTCACAGAGTTTCTTTGTTCAAGTTTTAAATCGATTCACTTCGAACTTATATGGCCTGCTTGTGCCACGACAATTACAAGCGGTTTGTAATTGTGCTACGCTTGAAAATAAACTTTTCGCGTTTTTTATGCTCAGACGCGTGTCTAAATCACACAATGGCGAAAATTAGAGAATTAGTGCGTTGCAAAACCATCGATGACCCTATCGATAATATCGATGGTTCTAGAATTGTGCCAACCAAACATTGCTATGGTGCTATGACATTAGGCCTTGCTAGCTGACTAGTTTCAAATATGAAGATACTTTTAATAATGCCTGCACCAGCAGATATGTATTTTGGAAAAGATAAGTTTATCTCAAGTGGTGCCTCAGTTGTTTGACTGAGCGCCAGTAGGCTCGTCTAGATTTAGCATTTTGTCTCTAATGCTACCTATCTCTCTCAGAAAAGTAAGCATAGACTAGTGTCATAGCACCATCAGAATCAACGATGTTTTTTCTTCCAGCGATATATCGTCTAAAAAACAATATAAATTCTTACAAATTGCATCAATAATAACAATTACAATTACGAAAAGGATCGCAGAATACAAGTCCGCTTCAATGACGGAAGCGTAAAAACATAAAGTTTATTTAATTTTCGATGGAATTGTGGACATATCGATGGTTTTGCAGGTGGTAAACTTGCCGATTACGTGCAGCTTGAGACAGCAATGATTTTGTTCTGGCGCTTCCGGACTGCGCGAGTATCGAAGGCGATAGTTGGACTATTTTAGAATGAGTAAAGAATGGTTGTGTATCAGACTTAATTTTGTATTACTTTTGCCAAAAATTGTTGTGTTGGAAATTGTTCTAAAGCGTACGACGCCTTCTTATTTATGAGATTTGACGCAAAACGCACATGCGAAAGCAAAATTATATCTCTAAACTAGAATGAATATATTTTAAATGATTGGGGGTGCTGTTAAGACTTTTAATATATTTTGGACTTTATTAAACGTTCATCCAGCTTTCCAAATGGTCGTCGCACAGGTCAAGGGTTCTCTCACAGATAACATCTTCTCTTTATTTGACAGAAATCATTCGAGATTTCGAAACAGATAATAGTGGTGGACAAGTCCCGTTACGGGTTCTGTGCCGAACCAAGTCATTCTAATTTCCCATACAAAATTTCACCAAATCTGTTATGTCCCAAAAAAAAAAACGTACTAAATGTTTACACTAACCAACAAAATGACAATTTGTTTTTATATTGGGCCAATGGTTTACCAGCCAGCCCTATTTATGTATTATATATAGATGTATGGATGTATGTATGGATGTGTACATGTTTATATAGAATAAATGCTTTTGGTATTGGCTATAGCTTCTGTTCTAGCTTGAGATTACATAGTGGAAACACTTGAACATTAAATACGGCCATATAATGCTATATACGTAGTATGTATGTAGTGTAGCTGTGTGTAAATATATGCTACATATACGTATGTATGTATATGTATTTTTATATGTAAATAACAACTAAACCCTGTGCAGTATATCTCGTATGCAGGTCGCATCGTCGCTCCACTTGGACTATAACTTGGATTAGCTAGCCCTTGAGCAGGCATCTGGAATAGAATTCTCTGTCAATGGCATCGTTCGGAATGTAGGAGCTCCACTTGAAGATGAGGGCCAACGTGTCGCTGGCCGTCAGGTGGTCGAGCGCAATGTTAAGGAAGCAGTTCCAAGTGTAAAAGAAATGTCGCGTCAGCTGATCCTGCTCAACGCTCGACACGCACTCACAGTTGACGCAGACCAGGCGTCCACGCTGCAGCTCCGCAAACTGCTCGAAGCAGCGTGCCCAGGCAGCCACATTGAGCTGTCGGCCCACGTCCAAGAGCAACTCCGGCTGCCCATAGTTGAGTACAATGGGCAGCACCTTGTCGAGATTCTGCTCGGCCAAATAGAACTTGGCCAGCACATCGAGCAGCGCGGGAACGGCTTGGACCACATCGAAGCACTTGAGCTGCTCGTTGCGGGACCAGAAGTAGCGCAGCAAAACGGCGCCGAGTTCGTGGTACTGGCAGGCGTTGTCGAATCGCAGTGGGAACTGGCAGTGGTCGCATCTGACTATCTCCATGCACTGCGGCGCATTGAGCAGCACAAATCCACTGGCAATGTAGTCCCGTGTGCCGTCATCCACCTCCCAGATGAGCTCGGGATTCAAATAGTTGAAGTACATCTCGTAGCAGTTGCGCTCCGCTTGTTCCTGCCCATCGCCGTGCTCCACCATCAGTTGGGCCAACTTTCCCAGCAGCGCCACCAGCTCTCCGGCTGCGTACTCATCGAAGACGGCCCGATAGCGCTCCACGCAGTGTGTGCGACTGAACTTGGCGCTCTTGCAGATCAGGTAGAGATTGTAGATGGTCTTCTCCTCGGGGCTGATGTGGGGCGCTTGCGGCGTGGGTCGCTTGCAGCGGCTCACGATCTCCTCCTCGCCGCCCGAGCCCGATTCGTAGCGGGCCTTGATGTCCTTGAATGGCAGCGACCGCTCACTGGCTGGTATGAGCTCCCGCACCAGCTGCTGCTGCTGCTCTTCCGCGAATATGTTGAACTTATATTTGATAATGTTCTTCCCAAACTTGCCGGTGACGGTTAGCAGGGCATCCTTGAAGTGTCCGGACTTTGGCTGTTGCTTTAGATTATCGCAGAAGGCATTCTCCAGGACATACACGCCCTTCGGCGGGCCCTTGGGGGCGCTTACTCCGCCACCGCTCATGCTGCCGCTGCGCTCGGTGGCGGCTGAACTGCCGCCAGAGCTTTGGGTGTCCAGCGCACTGCCTGTGCACTGGGCTATGGCATCGAAGATCACCGAAATGTCGTTCAGCAGCTCGTACTCCTGTCTCTCGATCAGCAGCTGCTTCAGCTGGTTGAGCAGCTTCAGCTCGTAGTTCTCCCTGGCCTTGTCCGCAAAGTACTTCACATGCTGCCGCAGCAGATTCGCGCACTGCAGCAGCTTCGACTGTTGCACCAGCGAGATGGAATACCCTTGGAGTGTCTGCAGCTGCACGCTGTACAGTGAGCCTGTCTGTGTGAACACGAAGATCTCCATGCCGCACACACGGCAATCCACAATCCGCTCGAACTGGTTACACCACAGGACGACGGACGAGTTGCGCACGTCGAAGATGTAGAGTCCCAGCTCGGTGAAGGCCAACAGAAAGTCCTGGCTAAGCCGCTGCACCCTGGCGAACTGCAACTGCTGCGGCTGGTAGTCCAGCAACTCGTCGTTGGAGTCCAGCTCGTCCGCGTTGTTGTCCCCGCTGATGGTCTTCTGTATCTTGGCGGGTGCCGTGGCCAGGGCAGCCTTGAACTGATGCGTCTGAATGACCTCGCCCTCAAAGTCCACCTCCCAGATTCGGGTGCCGGGACGCGCGCAGTAAATGCGCGACGGCTGCACGGACTCGTGTGGCGAGATGAAAAAGCAGGCGCCGTAGGCCCCATCCCGAGGACGGTTGCCGATCTACAAGGGATACAAATTAAGAGTTTTACAGCGGAACTTGGGCTGACTGCGATCAAGTATTAGTCACCTGCTTGTACTCCTCGTACTCGGTATTGCACAATATGCATTTGGTGCAGTTGGACACCAAAAGCAGCGACTCAAAGTCGTCGATCTGGACAATGGGCGAGTCGAGATAGAGCAGTGGGTGCACGGTCATGTTGAGCAGCAGATTGTGGCCAATGAAGGAAGAGAGCAGCACAAGGTTGACCTGTCCCCTGGAGTCGCCATAGTAGAACTGCTTCTCGTCCTGCGTCCAGTGGATGCAGCTGACCTGAACGGATTGGTCCAGATGCGTGACAATCACCTGCGGCGTGGCCTGGGCGGACAGGTTCACAGCGTACACGCAGATCAGGGAGCGCTGAGTGGAGAAGGCAACATACTTGTTGTTCGCCGAAATGCTCAGGTTGGTGATGGCTCCATGTTTGTTCGGTATGAGATGCAGAAACTTTCCGTTGCGATTGAACAGATAGAGGGAGCCGGAGGATGCCCCAAAGATAATGTAGCTGTCGGAGATGTCGAAGCATGTGTACTGCGTAAATAGAAGAGGTTTAGCAACAGCGATTGGAGATTGCAGATGAGTTACCTTGATTCGATTGTGCTTCAGTGGCAACGACAAAGACAGCGAAAAATCAATAAAGTTTGTCAGACAATACTCATCCGCCATCGTGCAACTTTGGATTTCTAACAACTGATCCTTGTTAGCATAGCGCATCGGGTTAATAGATTGTCATTTAGTGAGTATATTTCCAACAATTAAGCAATTTTTACTTATTTATTTTGTTATTCTCCTTGGACGAGGTGCTTAGTTTTCGTTATGTTCAGCGAAATTAGACACTTAGTCACAAGCTTGTCACCAACTGCGATATCGCGGTATTCCCCCAATGTCCGACACACACACACACTGATGTTTTTAATAGTAATTTATTTATTATTTTTATAAACTAAAATTAATAGCTGCTCGTCGCCAGTGTGGCCGCGGATTTATCGATAAAATGTACCACAAGCCCCTCAATAACATACGTTGTCATTTTAAAAATATACCGTTAATCTTAGATCATTTTTCTAATTTTGCGATTCTATTTAAAATCACCAGCTCATTGGGATTCTCAGCGAAAAATCTAGAATTTTATCCGATTGATGAATCAATATTGCACAAGATTGGCTATCATTCGCGACTTCCTTTTATTGGAAAGGTTAACAACGAACGTGATTGGGAATGGAATGTTACGTTTTGCTCTCTAACATTAATAATGACATCTTAGATTGACATGCTTTGGCCTTTTCATATGTGTTCTATGTGAAAGACATCGTGGTGATTTATTTGTTTATATAAAGACTAAAGGTATTGACTATAAAGAAGAATATATAAACAACATTAATTCGCGCTGTTCAACTATTTAAATAGAGGGGCCTAGGTGGGTTAACTTTGTTTTTTTTTCCTTGTTATATTTACGGTATATTTTTATTTATATCAATACAGCCGGGGTCACACTGTACAACAGCTGTTTTCTGAATTTTCCTGAAATAAACACGAAACAATTGAAATTCTCTATTACAAAAGTTATAAATCAAATGTCATATCGTTTCTGAATAGTACACCAAACCGAACGAACGCCGATTCGCCCGACCAGCTGTTCCCTGTCCATATTGAAATCGGCCGCTGTCAAAGAAACGTCAAAACAGTCGCGGGTCGGACGACAAGTGCAGAAAAAATAAAATGTGCATAAATAATCGAAAAAGACATTAAATAACGCGCTGAACAACTAAACAAGTGACCCGCATATATGCACAACGGATGACCAGACCTAGGAGCAATGGGCGATAAAGCAGAGCCGACCACCCCCGCACCCTCCCCAACGGAGGAAGGACTAGCCGACCTCGCGGCATCTGTCGGCCCTGGAGCACCCGGCAACAACAACAGCAGCAACAACAGCAGCTCCGCAGTCAGCACAAATGCAAAGATCCTGATCATTGGGGCAGGAATGGCTGGCCTCTCGGCGGCCAATCATCTACTGCAAAACGGCTGTGACGATTTCCTCATAGTTGAGGCGCGCGGTCGGATGGGTGGGCGCATTGTGTCCATACCGCTCAGCAATAATCAAAAGGTAGAGTTATGTAACAAGTCCAAGAAAGCTCAAGAATGGAGTACAAATGTGGAATACACATTTACAATATGAAAGCGAGAATGCTCGTCGCTGAACTGCTGCCCGTTGTGCTCATGGATTATGGATTTTTCCAAGCCGTGCGCAGTCCGTCCGCTATTTACGCATCTCATTGTTGCTATTTCTAGCGACTGTTACTTCCTCCTAGTTGTAGCATTTCTGGCTGTAGTTATAGAAGAATTTTTATTGTTCCCCACCCTAGAGCATTTTTCTAGTACATCGATTGGCATGCTTAGAACTAGACTTTAGAGTGCAGAAGTTATACGACTGGCCAAAAAGTGTGTTAGATTAGATATGAGCATTCCAGGAGAGTGCTGTTCAGCCCACGCCATAGACACACCCCCACATTTCACTAACCCTCTCGATTTTCTCTCATGTTCTCACAGATTGAGCTGGGCGCCAACTGGATACACGGCGTACTGGGTAATCCCATATTTGAATTGGCAATGCAGCATGGGCTAGTCAGCGTGGTTAATGTACCAAAGCCCCACAAAGTGGTGGCCACCACCGAAGATGGGCATCAAGTTCCTTTCAGCATACTGCAGGAGATTTACGAGGCTTACGTGTGCTTTCTACGGCGCTGCGACGAGTATTTCCTGTGCCAGTACAGCCCTCCGCCGGACATACACAGCGTGGGCGAGCACATCAACTACGAGATTGAGATTTTTCTGAGTTCGGTGCAGGACCCAAAGGAGAAGCGTCTCAAGCAATCCATATTCAACTGCCTGCTGAAGCGAGAGACCTGCATCACGGGCTGCAACAACATGAACGAGGTGGATCTCCTCGAGCTGGGTAGGTTATCAAGTTGATTTCATTGCTTGCCACAAAGATTGACGTGTAAATTACCCTTGCAGGCAGCTACACTGAGCTTCAGGGCGGCAACATAGTTCTGCCCTCTGGCTACAGCTCCATACTACGGCCGCTGAGTGGCCAGATACCGCAGAAGTCCATTTTGACCAAGTGCCCCGTGAAGAGGATTCACTGGAAGCGAAAAAAGACATTTACAGGCCTGGATACCGTCGACGAACACTCGGAGAACGAGGAATCGGATGATTCGGAGAAGACCGTCACAGAAATACCCACGGCTGGCGGAGCACTGCGAGGAGCTTCCGTCGAGTCAAACTCCAGCAGCAATTGTGATTATGCCGAGGGCAATGTGCGCGTGGACTGTGAGGACGGACGCGTCTTTCATGCCGCCCATGTGATATGCACCATACCGCTGGGCGTGCTCAAGCACACGCACAAGACCCTGTTCGATCCGGAGCTGCCGCAGTTCAAGCAGGAGTCGATTGAGAATCTCATGTTTGGGACTGTGGACAAGATATACTTGGAGTATGAGAGGCCGTTCCTCAGTGCGGACGTATCGGAGGTGATGCTGCTGTGGGACGATGACAAGCGTGACATGGACACCACCACAGAGGAGGAGCTGGCCAGCGAGGCGTATCTCAGCAAGAATTGGTTCAAGAAAATCTACTCCTTTGCCAAGATGACGGACACGCTGCTGCTGGGCTGGGTCTCTGGGCGCGAGGCCGAGTATATGGAGACGCTCTCGCACGAGGCTGTGGCGGAGAAGTGCACTGAGATCCTGAGGAGCTTCCTGCAAGATCCGTATGTCCCGAAGCCCAAGCGTTGCGTTTGGTAAGCTCAAAAAAGGTTCTTTTGTTGATTTACTTTTGCTAAATTTGCTTGCAATTTGTAGTACCAGTTGGAAATCGCAGGAATTTACGGGTGGGGCTTATACCTCCATACCAGTGGGAGCCACACAGGAGGACATTGAGAACCTGGCCCAACCGCTGTATGCAACGCCACAGGCCATGAAGGTACTGCACAGTACATGCATCCATTTTAACCCCAATCTGACTCTATTTGTGACTCTATTCAGCCCGCCATTGTGTTTGCTGGAGAGCACACGCATTCCAGCTTCTACTCCACCGTGCACGGGGCTTACTTGAGTGGACGTACAGCGGCGCAGGTTCTGCTGGCGAATGATGAGCCGGATGAGATTATAATGGAGTCTGACGGCAGCGACCTCAGCGCCTGGATTCAAGGCATCGCTTTGGACTGAGCACATCATCAGACAACAAATCGATGTTGTATTATTATAATTTATATTTATTTATTTATGTTACCGATTAGCTTTTAAAATTATTGAATGCTTTTAGCTAGTGATATTCCATTTTCCCGTTCCCGGATATTTTCGATACGAAAGCCGCTAACGTCAAACGGCTGCCTACATTTGTCCATTGACTCTTCCTGTACGTAGTTTTTCAACGCATAGAGCATCTAGTTATTCGGATTGCCTAGGGAATCGTAGCAGAAGAGTGTCTGGTTCTTCATGTGTATAATGGCCATGCGCCAATGCATGCCATTGAAGTGTACCGGCACCACAATGATGTCCTTGCTGATCAAATCAGCAGCCTTGCTGTACACTTCCATGGCATGCATTGGTGCATGGCCATTATACACATGAAGAAGAAGACACTCTTCTACTACGATTCCCTAGGCAATCCGAATAACTTGATCCTCTCGAGGCGTTGAAAAACTACGCACAGGAAGAGTCAATGGACAAATGTAGGCAGCCGTTGGGCGTTAGCGGCTTTCGTAACCATAGAAATTGTAATCTGTGTGCAATTTTTGTTTGCACTTTAGTGTTTTTAGCGTATTATTGTACGTCCTCATTGAACGCATTTGTTATATAATTGTTTTACAATGCAATTTTGTTTATAATTTATATGGAAAGACCCGCTTGTACAAGACTATAAATAAATGTTATGTTAAAGCTGAGCTGATCAATGTGTTGCCAACGCCAACGTGCACTCCAAGCAGCCTTCAATGTACTTGAACGAAGCACGAATACAACAAATGTGTGTGCACAAACATAAAGTTATTTAGTATAAATTACCGAACTATGCATAAGTAAACCTTCTTACATACATATGCCTATTTTTGTAAGCTCATATTAAGGTATCAAAGATTCGCTTTAAGTTAGATTTGGCTCCAGGAACATCGATGGCCACAAGCGTGTAAATTGATTGTAACTATTGTTAATGTTAACTACTTTGCTACACTCATTTGTGCAATGGTTCAAACTTTAAAGGCATACATAAACCTATTTGGTCAGTTGAAATACGAAAATCCAAATGTTTTTATCTTTAAATGTTCGGCAAAGTGAATAAAGAACACGCTAAATATAAACTATTATAGAGAAACTTATCTGTTTACCTTTGCTTAGGTTTTTATATCAAAATTAGTTAAAATTTGTCTTTATTTGAACAACTGCCTGTGCAAAATTCCAGTTTATTCTTTAAAAAGTTATTCATGAACTTCGCAAATTGTATAGCAAAAAGTGGTAAGACACTCACCATTAATACACCTTTAATTGCATTTGTTTAAAGTTTAAACAAAACTGTGTGTAGTTGCCGTGAAGTTTGCTACATAGAAACTACACAGGCATGTAATTATCACCAGAGCAAACTGTTGTTTCTACATGCACTTTTCAAAGTTCTTTTTAAATAATATTAATTCACACTCGTTTCAGCGCAAACTACAAGCATCTTCAAAGCTCAGCGAGTCTCGGCAAATTTGAGCTTTTGGAAGTGTAGAAAAAGTTGCGGCAGCGGCAGCGAGAGCACTTCGTTTCCACACGCCGGCTGCTACGATTCAGTTTTGACTCCACCGCCGCCGCCACGACACTGTTCTTTTTGCCTGTTTGCCAGAAGTCTCTGCGTTTGTTTAACAAATAAAACACTTTCGAGTTTTCTGTCGCCCACAAAAAACATCCGCAACATGTCGTACCACAAGCCAGAAGCTAAGACCGTTCAGGATTTGAAAGACTTGGCCCAGAAGCTGCGAATTCATTCCATCACCTCCACTCAGGCCTCCAAATCTGGGTAAGTGTATGCCTGGTCGAAACATTCACTAGCATTTTGTGTGTATTTAACCATATTAACATGGAATCCAAAAGTTGTGCACCTTGCACTTGTTGCGCGACCGGCAAAGGTGACCCTGCCAGGCTTGAGCTTGCAAGCCACGTGTTTTCGTCACTGGAACGCCGTTCCCTTCTCCATACAATTTCTCGAATATGCGAATTTTTTGCAATGCTTTGCAGAGTGTGTGTGTGTGCTTGCTGATAAGCCCCATTTGTGCTTATTGCTAATTTTTATAACTGACCTTTTTCGACCTTGAAAGTTACTGCCTGTCTGTTACTGCTTTTCGGTAATTTTGTTATTGTTCGCTTTTTTCGTTTTCTGCTTTAAAGCGTCGCCCCAACACACACTTTCGCATGCATATATGTATGTACACAAGTACTCACGTATGTATGTATGTTCATTTGAAAGCAGAGGTTCCAATCTAGTGTTCGAAAACTCCCATTCTCCACTGTCGAGAAAAGAGACAAGGGGATGAAATCCAAATAAACCTAACAAAAACAGATAAATGAAAACTTTTATTGCTGCTCATACTCCACTTTGGTGGCTTCTGCGAGATAAGATGTGCTCTATATATGACCTTTGCCGGCAAGATAACCAGAGTTTTGTTGGTTCGTCACGTCATGACTTACGATATGACCGATTAGACCCTCTTAGAGGTGACCAGCCCATGCCCTGCCCGGTGTGTTTAGCGCATGATGATCGAAAGACAGTGAAAACTGCTGATAAAAGAGCCAAGCCAAGTGACGCGACATTCAGGATCACCTTCATTAGTACTTGGAGTTTGCTGGAGAGGCGGAGAGGACGGACGACATGCAAACGCAGCGTGTAATTTGAGAGTTTTGTTTTTTGAGATTGGTGTATGCTAATGGCAGACCAGATCGATGCCAATGGAGTTCAAGGTCCTCGAAACCGGTGTGGTACAGATGTGTACGTTCACTCAAATATCAGTCTAGGTTGTTTGTGTTGGCGATAAGATTTATTTATACACGAATGTATATATGTATGTATGTATGTGTTTATGTATATAAGTAAATGGTGGGTAAGACGAGCCCCCCTTTTGCAGAGTTGCGTTTTTTGTGTGGTTGGATTTTTGCCAACTCTCAGCACATTTTGTAGATACTTCACCATTCTCTTTATCTGTGTACCTATGCGTGTACATATGATATGTATGTATGTGTTCGTGGCTTTATCTGTTAAATATTTGTTTCTGTCATTTGGATTTCCTTACTGAAGAACAATTCTGGGTCCTTTTCTGTGCTATAAATAAAATATAAAAATAATTATAATTGTTATCTTTTCCCTTCCAACAGACATCCCACATCATGCGCCTCGCTGGCCGAGATCATGTCCGTGCTGTTCTTCCAACAGCTGCGCTTGAACATTAAGCATCCCCGGGATCCATCCAGCGATCGTTTCATCTTGTCCAAGGGACATGCTGCACCCATTCTATACGCTGCCTGGGCCGAGGCTGGTCTGTTCTCCGTGGATGAGCTGAAGAACCTGCGCAAGATCGACAGCGATCTGGAGGGTCATCCCACACCTCGTCTCAATTTCATTGATGTGGGTACCGGATCTCTGGGTCAGGGCGTTGCCGTAGGCGCCGGCATGGCCTATGTGGGCAAGAACCTCGACAAGGCCGACTACCGCACCTACGTGGTTGTGGGCGACGGCGAGTCCGCTGAGGGATCAGTGTGGGAATCGCTGCACTTTGCCGGACACTACAATCTGGACAATCTGTGCGTGATCTTCGATGTCAACAGGCTGGGACAGTCGGAGGCCACCTCGCTGCAGCACAAGATGGATGTGTACAGAGACAGGCTCGAGGCCTTCGGCTTCAATGCACTGGTTGTCGATGGCCACGACATCGACGAGCTGTGCAAGGCCTTCCACTGTGCCGCCAACACCAAGAGCAAGCCAACGGCAATCATTGCCAAGACCTTCAAGGGCAAGGACTTCCCCAACATTGAGAACCTCGACAACTGGCACGGCAAGCCTCTGGGCGATCAGGCCGACAAGGTGATCAAGCACTTGCAGGGCCTGATGGTCAATCCCGACGTTAAGCTTTCGCCCAAGAAGGTGGGCAAGACCGGCCTGGCACCCGAGGTGGACATCACGAACGTAAAGCTCTGCACTCCACCCAACTACAAGCTGGGAGACTCGGTGGCCACGCGTCTAGCCTACGGCACAGCTTTGGCCAAGATCGGAGCTGACAACGATCGTGTGATTGCTCTGGACGGAGACACTAAGAACTCGACCTTCTCCGACAAGCTGAAGAACGTCTTCCCGGAGCGTTACATTGAGTGCTTTATTGCCGAACAGAATCTGGTGGGTGTGGCCGTCGGTGCCGCCTGCCGTCGTCGCACCGTGGCCTTTGTTTCGACCTTCGCCACGTTCTTCACACGCGCCTTTGACCAGATCCGCATGGGCGCCATCTCGCAGACAAATGTGAACTTTGTGGGCTCCCACTGTGGCTGCAGCATCGGCGAGGATGGCCCCTCCCAGATGGGACTCGAGGACATCGCCATGTTCCGCACCATTCCCGGCAGCACGATCTTCTATCCCTCCGACGCTGTCAGCACCGAGCGGGCCGTCGAGCTGGCTGCCAACACCAAGGGCGTCTGCTTTATCCGCACCTCGCGTCCCAACACTGCTGTGATCTACAACAACGACGAGCCCTTCACCATTGGACGCGGCAAGGTGGTGCGCCAGAAGCCTTCCGACGAGGTACTCCTCATCGGAGCTGGCATCACTTTGTACGAGTGCCTGGCCGCCGCCGATCAGCTGGAAAAGGAGTGCATCACAGTCCGTGTCATTGATCCGTTCACCGTGAAACCACTGGATGTGGATCTAATTGTGGAGCATGGCAAGCAGTGCGGTGGCCGTGTGGTTGTCGTCGAGGATCACTACCAGTAAGTAGACGCGACATCCCCTTCCTTCTTCTCTTGCTAATACGAATACGAATTCTCTTGCAGGCAAGGAGGCTTGGGAGAGGCTGTGCTCAGTGCCCTGGCCGAGCACCGGAACTTTGTGGTGAAGCATCTGTATGTGCCCACTGTACCACGCTCGGGTCCACCAGCGGTTCTCATCGATATGTTTGGCATTTCGGCACGCAACGTTGTCCTCGCCGTCAATGCCATCTTGAAGAAGTGAGGAACCGGCTGCCAATCCCTAAGAGCCTTCAGCTTAATTTCCATTCCACATACACCATTCCCCCCACCCTCCCCTTTCACACCTGCCCACTAATTCGAATTCTAATAACATAAATAAATTCGTTTTGATAAAAATTATTCAACAATTACGGTTATCGATTTTTGGATATCGCACTTCGATGCTCCTTATTTATTCGATAGTTATGAACATGTTTTGCATAAAATTATTGCTATAAATTTCTGGGTATTTGTAGATCAAATTCGCGTTCGAAGCGATACACAACAGATGGTGTATCTACCTACCATCTTAGAAATATAACATTGAATGTTAAAGGAAAACTCAAAACGAAACTTCTTAAAAAGAAATAAACAAATAAACAAAAAAGTTACTCGGATTTTCAACCCGAGATTTGCTGGGCCTAGGCTTCGACTCCATTTAAGAACAACTTCTTCAAGTCCTCCAGACTCAGACGTCCACCGGCTGATGATAGTGCGCTTTGGTCTGGCTGAAGCACGACATTGGCAATCTCCAACTTGTACTCCTGCAACGCATTGATACGCTGCTCCATGGTGTCCCGACACATGAAGCGATAAATGAAGGTCTGCTTTTGCTGGCCGTAGCGGTAGATGCGATCCTGCGCCTGTCGCTGCAGCTGCGGATTCCAGTGCAGGTCCACCAGCAGCAAGTGGTTAGCCACATTCAGATTGAGACCAACACCGCCAGCGGTGAGGGAGAGCAGCAGCACCCGCTTGTCGTTGAGAACCATATTGAACTCTCTGAGCACCTCTTCGCGCTCCTTGGCATTCAGCTGGCCATTAAAATCAAGCGTCTTCCAATCCCGCTCATGCAAATAGTCACGAATTATGGATAAAAAAGAGGTCCATGTGGCCACGACAATGACCTTGTCATTTGTCTCTTCGAGTATTGACTCCAGTCTCTGAATAACGGCTTTCAGTTTGGCCGACGGCTGACTGGGATTGAAAATGGGATTGTTAATATTTAGAAGTTCCATGGCTCCGGCCAAGTCACTGAGAACATTTTCCTCCTTTGGTTTCACTTCCTCTGTGTTGGTTTCCATTTCTAGCTGGGCCCCGAAATCTTCCTCCACTGGCTGCATTGGGTCTTCCGTTTTGATTTCAACTTTTTTTTCTTCGCCGTCGGAGCTGCAGTCACGTGCAGCGTAATTCTCCAACTCCTTCAGTGCATCCAACTGCAACGAGCCGCCAATATGCTTGAGATCTAACTTCAGATCACTGTGTGGCATGGCTGCGTCCATGAACAAAAACATCTAGAGAAAGAAGAACGTTAAATGCAACAGCCTCTGGCCTCATATAATCTACTCACATTAACCATAAGACTGGGATGACAGCAAAACTGACGCAGGCGCAGAAGCAGCACCAGGATAACGATTCCCTTTACCTTTTCTTTGGGATTGTATCCCAGCGATCGAAGGAATCGCTCGTATATTTTTGTGTACTTTTCCTCAACATGATTTGTGATGAATTGTGGCTGTCCTTGCAAAGAAGAGTAATTCAAGTCGTTGTTTCCGCGCTCGCGCTGCATCAGGAACTGGGTGAATATTTTTTGAGAGATCGACGACAAGATCTGATAGACGGCCATTTCAGGCTCCGAGAGCTGTACGTGTACCACCTCGACCATCAGTTCAGGCAGTGCTGGCATATCCCCGGAGGCCTGCAGCTGCTGCTTGGTGCGACGCAGCATCAGTGGCTTGATGATGAAGCTCAGGCGAAAGTGAGCTTGCTTGCCATGGTTGAGCATCGTCTTCCACGTATTCAGGTGATTGAAGTGCGGCACGTTCAAGAAGCGCAGCAGGGCAAACACATCGATGGCCCGGTTCTGCACGGGTGTGCCTGTCAGTGCCCAACGACAATGTGCGCGCAGCAGGTAGACCGAATTGAAGCATTTGGTCTTCGTGTTTCGTATTATGTGAGCTTCGTCCAGGATTAGACGCTGCCACTGGACGGCCAGCAGAAGGGAACTGTTGCCAAGTTTCCCAACCTCAGAGGCGACGGTCTGGTACGATGTTATAACCAAGTCGTGGCGTCTGAACATCTCCAAGGAGATGTTTTGCCGATAGGCACCGTGAAAGATCAAAAAATTAATGGTATTTGGGGCCACTTTAGTGGACACTTCCTGGGCCCATTGGCACATCACGCTCATGGGGCAGACCACTAAAGTGCCCGCGTGCGGATAGGGACCACAGTCATCTTCCTCTTCAGATTCGGTTAACTCTTCTGCCTGGGATAACTCGGGGCACAGACGCTTTGGAGGCGTAGGTTCCTCGTCTTCTTCCTCAGAGAATTCGTCTTCAAAGATGTTAAACTTGTACAACTTTTTAAACGGCATCCATTTCGCCGCTTGTGCCTTTTGCCTTTTCTCCATTTTCAGCTTCTTTTTCTCCAGAGAGGACAAGATCAGTGAGATCATGCTCAGAGTCTTGCCCAGTCCCATGTCATCTGCCAGAATGCCACCGCTAATTTCCTGCCGTTCCCGGAACTGCATCCATCGCAGGCCACATTTCTGATGCTTCATCAGGCCCACCAGCAGGAGCGAGGACTGCTCAGCAAACTGATCTCCACTGGGCGTGGGCTCTTTTGGCTCGTAGATTGTCTGTGAAGTACGAACAAATAATACAACTTGCGAAGAAATCATTCAATTGATTGCGTTTTACCTTTAGGCTGGAAATAATGTTCGCCTTGTGCTGGTAAAACTCAGCTGGAGTGGTGCCAGCTTTGTCCCGATGGCGGTTCAGACCCGAGAACAGTTTGGACCATTCGGGCTTCACGTTCGCTTGGGTCTCGGCACTCCCGCGCTGCTCCTCGTCTACACGCAGAGTGTCTAGCAACTTCCCTTTAGCAATCATACGATAATTTTCCTTTTGCAATGTTCCTTGAATGCTCGTCAAATCTTCAATGTCAATAGCTCCTGCTCTAGACGCCACCTCATCAAGCACTCGTTTGCGCTGCTCCAAAGCGAGGACCTTCTTCACATGTTGACCAAACTCCACTCTCCTTGCTTCATATTCCTCACTGCTGACCAATATGACGGCATCCGATTCACTTGCATATTCTGTAGGGTTTACATGTGTTAAATTGCACTGCGTGATGAAATATTTGTGTGTAATTAATAACTTACCGCTGCTAAAATCAAACTTCGTATCCTCCAATTCATCGTACGACAATACTGGCGAGTCTTCGTCCTCTCCGATGCTTTCATCTTCATCGGAGAAGTCTTCTTCACACTTAAATACGTTAAGCGTTTGGTTTTCCATGTCTTTGAGCGTGGAAATTTGGCAGCGATAATCTATGGATTGCCTGCGAGTCGCTTGGGAGAATATCTACAGCTTAAGTTTAATTAAGTAGCTATATATTTTGTTCACGTTTCACACGTTTTGCTGGCATTGCAGCATGACAGGTCAGTTTTAAACCTAATCGCGCGCGAAGCCGGAGGACGATAAATCTGCATTAAGTGATGGAGGTGTCCATATTTTGTTGAGGGTATTTTCGGTGTTGCTATCGATGTTTGTTGATGAGGGCATGCAAGGAGTTGCATTGGAGAAGAGGTGTACAGGTAATTAAACAATATGAAGTTTGAGTTGAAATGTGGTCACCTATATAATTTCATCAAATTATATGTTATAAGATTTAATATCTTGGAATGATATGTAAGTTCAAAGGCAATAGAAGGCATCCTCAAAAGATGATGACATCTCGAAGACTTCCACCAAGTGGCCTTACCTGACGTAAATCAGTGAGATTCGATTCAGAACTCCAAATTAGCCTCATTCTTAAAATATTAGCCCATTCTTTAAAGGAAAGAAGCTTTTTTGTGACTTATAACTCCTTAATGTTGTTGAAAAAATCAACAATTGTAAACTCTTTTCTTATATTTTTTTCAAATATTAACCCTTCTACATAGGAAAAATTACTTTTCGCCGAACATATATACCATTTATGAAAACTAAATGGTTTGTGGTTTTACGTCTTATTATTATTTTTTTGGTATTTAATCGCTGCCGAGAAATTGTAAGGTCGATGAGTCCGCAATGACCAGGTACTTCAGTTCTATGATGGGGCTGTCGATATTTTCTTGCGTCTTATTAAATCGTTTTTTGAAGCAGGCCGCGACACTCTGACCCTCAAAAATATACCGAAATATACTTTCTCCTATTTCAAATATACCGTATATATACCAAATCGGAAATAATTTTCCTCGAGTTTGATATTCTGTTTAATATTACCAGCTAGTTAGGACTCTCGCCGCTGAAACTATAATTTTATTCGATTCATCAATAAATTCTCCACAAGACTAGCTAGTTTTCATGACTAATTCTTCTTGGGTTACCTATTAAATATGGTCAACAAAAAAAACAAACCAAACTAGCGTCCTGTTAATTCATTATTTTAAACAAGCGGTGGTCAGAGTTGGTAAATGGCTAAAAGTCAGAAGTTAATTAACCCACCGAAGATTGCAGCATGCCAAATCTAAATTATTTATTCTTAATATCACATCAGTGAATAGATCGGCACGCAAACATTCACATGATTTTCAGTGCGTTTGTGTGTTTAGACATGTCTGCTGGGTACGTCCGGCTGGGTCGGCTACATAACACAGGTACACGTGCTCTCTCTCTCTCTCTCTCTCACACAAAGCTACACCTTCGTGTGTAGTGTTCATGAAGCTCAAATTCAGGCAGAACGTGAACAAAAGCCATCTCTTGTGCTGACCAACCGACCAAGCTTTCCCCTCCAGCCATCAGCATGACAAGGCAAGTCAAGGCAATCCATATGCAAAGCGTGAACGAGCCAGGGGGCAGGGGGACGGGACAGGAAGAAGGTGCGTATGTATGGGTCTGTAGGCACATGAGATGGCATCGCATGTCGCCAATTACCCGCATAATCTTGTAATACTAACCTCAACCAAATGCCCGTGCCTCTCCGCAGAATAGAGGACCAATTTTGGTTTCACTTACGCCCCACGAATTCCCTTTAACTCCCTTTAAACACTGCATTAAATAGTAGAGATTGTAGCCTTTCCACGTGTGAGTGGTGCAAAAATGGTAATAACCATAACACCCGAGCTATTAAAATTAATTACAAAATTATAAACAGCTGTTAGCCTCCCTACAAGCACTTACAAACACTGGCATTTGTTCTTGACTCGTAGGGCGGAGTTGCAAGTGGCCGAGCCAAATCCTTTTCTAGTGCGGACATCAATTATTTTTTTCCAATTCTTCTGTAACTAAGATCCACACAGTTCTCGATTTGCGGCAGTGCTCAGTTCTCTGTCTGCAGTCCATAACTTTTTCAGCTATCAATCAGAAGCTGTTTTAGCAATCGATTTGTATATGCTCCCATTTGCATGCATGTATGTATGTAATGTATGTGTGTGGGATGGCCTGCAGCAGCTTTATGAGTTATCCAATACTATACAATTAGCCAATGCTTCGATGGACTCTAATTTCAATTGCCTCTTGTGTTCACTTGATCTGCGGTTCAAGACCAAATCATCGTCAGGTGACCCAGTAACCGATCATGTTAGCTGTGATTGCTGTACATTCAATTGCAGCATCAGGTTTTTGCGAAAGGTAAACGAACGAAACGTGAATCAATCAATAAATCTACTCAACAAAGCGAATCCGAAACGAAAGAGTACAAAGCAGTTGCAATTACGGTTGGTTGGAGTATGAACTGAAGAGAAGCTCCGAAAAAGATACTCCAAATTCGAATGGACCACTCAGCTGTCTGCTTTCGTTTAGATGTTTCCGCATTTCCGCATCTCAAGGTTGAGCTAATGCGGCAGAAACACGTTTTACTTTCCGCATTGAATGCAACTCATCGTGATGCACTTTAAGTGTTTTTTTTTTGCTTTTCCAATTGGTCGAACCGGTTGGACGCGCACTTCGACAGAGTGAGAGACAGGCCAGAGGTTTAAGCCACAGTCAGCTTGAACTTGACTTTGGCAGACGCCGAAAGAAGGAAGCAAAGAAAGAAAGAAAGAAAGTATTTGGCCACACGCTGGCACTCACGCTGTCACACACGCTGGAAGAAGGGAAGTCGAACGGGACTTAAAGCTCTCGTCGCTCTAGGGTCCGACTTCACCTGCGAAGCGATTGGAGCATCTGCTGTATTATGAAGCAGTTTGAATCTGGCTATCTATCTGTGAATAGCCAGAGAACTACTCGATTCCCCAGATGTAATTCCACTTAATCGATCGAATGTCATTCAAGTATTGCCAATATAATATATTGCTCTATATGGCGCTCAAGTTCTGTTATTAATTTAATCCCCCCCCCCGCCACCTTAAAGAGATCATAAATCAATGAAGTTGGCTATTGTCCACGCTCATGTTGGCCAACACCAGCGCCGAGTAACGTGTGTGTTCCATTCACCGGCTGACAGGAACATTTCAATTACGTTTTATTGGCGGGGACCACACCTGAATATGCGCCACTCCATTGTCAATCATGTTTATTCAGCTCTGGCTTTTGATTACCTTTTGCCTCCCTCTCCCCTCCAAAGCTGCCAAAGTAGCCAGCGGCTGTTTGTCTAACAAATCGAATAAATTCTTTCTATGCGAGTGCCTTTTATTGGCTGGTTTTAATAATTTAGCACTCTGATTCTTCCCCTGTCAATGTTTAATTAATTAGGCACCTCATGTGCGTCATGTGCAAATATTTACCACCCTTTTGGGGGCCAGTTCTGGGCACTTAACATATATTTAAATCATTATTTTCACTGCTCTCAATGAATATTCATTCATGAAGTGTATGCCAAATGTTTTTTGTTTTTAATTGCATTGATTTCCCGGCAAATCAATTAATCTGCCGCCGCATGCATGCAGATTTTCCGCGTTTCCATTTTACTAATGCACTTCCACCAGCATTGCGGCCTCATTTATTAGCCTAATTATTTTTTGCAACCACCATTTTGAGTGAAACCGAAAGCCAGAAAATACCGAACCCGAATCCTGAACGGGGGAGTCAAGTGGGACCGCGAGAGGAAGAGGCAAAGGAGCGGGAAAACCGCTGTGGCGGCCATAAATTTTCGTACTATCGATCATTGTCAGGCTGTGAGATAATTTGCAATAAATCTGTGCGGCATTTTAGAATCGAATCCAAGTGGATGCTGGGGTACTCTAGCAGATAGTCGGGGCGGGCAGTCACCGAGTCGCTCTGAGACTGCATTAAAGCGAACACCACACAACATAAATTAGGATAATTACAATTGCACCCACAAGTGCCATTCGAGCTCTCTGTCTCTGCCTCTGCCTCTTGCTGTTGCTTGCCGCGGGGACGCCAAGAATTTTGATTGCATAAACAGCTGAAAAAAATAACAAACCAACAACCACAATACTCGGAGTATTGCAAATTGTCCGCAACCGGGCGCACCATTGGAAGTGAAAATGAAAACACAGATCCAATATCCAAATGGTTTGAATATTAGCCAAAACAAAAAGGAATTACAAACGACAAACAACGAACCGTTTGATACCCTGGCATAAGGCACAGCATAAGGCTGACTTGAGTCTAAAATGTGGACTCTAAATTGTGCGCAAAATGCATACAAATATAATTCAATATTATATTTCTGGGAAAGGTATTGGGCAAACCCCATCAGTAGCTAGCTGGCCAAGCGGAATTCTCGGAGCTGTACAATTAGGAGACTCTTAAAATGGCCGCAAACAAAATATTTGGCAACTCCTTTGGCCTGCCCGGCCGCCAGACATGGCCAGCTTCATGTTTGGCCGAAATTAGTTGGCCAAGCGCTGACTTCTTGTGGCCAGCGGGGGCAGGCAGCGGTGCGTATTATGAGCACCGTTCCTGCTGCAAAACCCAAAATCAATTAAAACGAATCGCTGAAGCAAAGTTCCAGCCGCCTGCGAGTGGCTCATTCATCCGTGACTTTGCACTTTTGCCGGCGCCAGCATTGCACTGGCCACCCGCCTGCCTCATTGTCGGACTCAGACTTGGCGGCGTTGCGCATGCGCAGAGGTGTTGCTGCTGCTGCTGTCTGGCATTTGATATGCTTCATATTGTTTTGCATGCCGACTCCAAGTCTGGCTGTCTGTCTGTCTGTCTGTCTGGCTGGCTGTCGCTGGTTTAATTGCAACAGGCCTGGCTTAGAAAATTGATATGGAAATGGATCGGTTAACTAATTTGGAGCTTACGAGAAATGTTTAGCTAAGGACTTGCGGCCAATTAAAGTTAGTTATTGCACGGCAAGCGCATTCCCGAATAGCAGTTATTTATTTGGTAATAGATTATAGGTAGCAAAACGAGTGCCAATGCCCACAGTCTGGGGGGTCAAAGACTCGCTTTGCACTCGCAGATTTCCATTCCAAAGTCAATCGAGTCCGAGGCCACGCATGTTCGAAACTCACGCAACTAGACATTGAATGGGCAGCCCTGGCATTGACTTTCCAC